TTTTTTCGGGGGGAGGGGATGGGACACTTAGAAGAGTGGGGTTAAGGCAGGACCCCCAACCTGTATATAGTCATGTCCAAAAAGGGTTGGGAAATCACATATCTACATGTCCATACAGCAAGCAGTCAAAAACGAAAGAAAAAGAAAAAACATCCAAAGCGAAAAATCTAAAAACTGGGCTAACATGTGCCTAAGCAAACAGTTTGTGCCACAAGTGGATTAAAACATACAAATCAAAATGACTATCTGAATATCAAAGAAGGGTAACCAAACTGATCCATATGCAGAAGCGTGCAGAGGCGTAGGAGAGCAGCGTCTGGCTAAAATATGCGCCTTTGGGGAGTGGAGGCACCAATGCAAGCAAGGAAGTCATCGAGTCGGTTCTCCTCAGGGAAGATGTGTGATAACCTATAGTAGACCGATTGGAGTGCAGATCTAATGCACATGACTGAGTGTTGAATTTTCCACGTACTATTGTGGCCTGAGGTTAAGAGGGTGACGACAACGACAACATCCAACTAAATTCAAATGTGAAAACAGATAGAGGCTGCAATATGAAGATCGATCTAAAGCGTCTGCATCTCCGCATTATAACTCGAGGTAACCTAAAGAGGGGCATGGAAAGAGGTAATGAGATCTCCGTTGTGGTCCCTAATCAGGCCCCCTCCTCCGGTAGCTCCGATGGTCAGTCGAAAGATCTGTCAGTGTTTAGCTTAACCCAAGAAAAAACGAGTCTCAACCAAACAACGGCTCAGGGGCGTGGGTGTTGGACAGACGATAGCGGTGATGGTACGAGGCGGTCGAGCAGCGTGCAGTCTGTCCAGTCTCTAGGTGTGAGTCTGCCCAGAGCTGTGAGGAGAGATAGGTGTCGCTTAAGCTGCAAAACGTGATAGAACATAAAAGTAATACCCCTACGATTCACACTATTACTTTATGTCCAGATGGACTACAAAATCAGACAAGGAATGAGAAAGCCCACGTGTGTACGGTGGTTGTCGCCCTATAGTGGTGATTGACACCTCTAGGGCAGTATTTCCCGCGAGTTTGTTTAACAATTCAAAATTTTAGAAATTTTGATGATCATTTTAGCACATTGTTTTGATCCATGAATTTGTTTGACGTATGTATTTTGAATACATCATTATTATGTGTGTTTAGAACCACATAAATGAGTAACTAGATTGCTTGTATGTATTCTGAAACATATTGTTATTAATTTGTGATTGTGATATTATAAATGCATGATAATTGGATTATACGTTCTTATTTATCTAATTGAAATAAATTAAATAGTTTATTTTATTTTAGTTAGCCTTCGTGATTATATTGTCTGGGTAGGCGACACCAAGTAATTGTCGGACCGTATTATATTGTCTGGGTAGAAGGCGTCCAGTAATTTTCGAACCGCGTTATATGGGTAATATTGCATGGGTAGGCGACGTCCAGTATTTGTCAGACCGCGTTCTATTATGCTCGGGTAAGTGGCGCCCGATATGTGTTATTAGTTGAATCTTGTTTGAATATTAGATATTTAATACTCCGTCAACAAGGTTTCCCTAATAAAGTCTCATCTTGGATGCATGACGTCATTCATCACAATTGAATGAGTGAAAAAACTTTTCTTCTAAAAGTATTTACGCCCTAGTGTTTGCTTAGGGCTACAAGGCGCAACTCTTTCATAGACACATATGTTTGTGATCGTGTGATGGTTTTGACTTACTTAGCTAATTCTTTTCGCCCTAGCGTCGTAATGATCTAAGGACGTCAATTAAATTAGATTTGATCAACCAATAGTCGTAATTGTTTACAAATAGTTTAGAGACCTATCAATACAACCATTATAGTGATTATCCCTAGTTGAGACTATAATAGGATGAATGTGGTTCTCGGCTCACTATGACTATATCTTATATGAGTAGAGTATGTAAATGTGGATCTCAACTCACTATGACTATAGTTTATGTGAGTCCGTACATTTCAATGGATGCTAATGGCATTTTTTTTTTTTTTTATTTTGATTACATGTCACAAATCTATATATATTAGGAGTAACATGGATTTTTGCACTAATCTCTAGGTTTGGATTGAATTTACAGCTAAAGCCTCTCAATAGAGATGATTAGATGAAGTCTACCTAGAGGCTAGAGCTGCTCATTCGATCAAAATCGAACCGACCAAATATTCGGTTAACCGAAAATTCAGTTTGTTCATTATCATAACCAAAAAAATCGAACAGAAATTTACGATTCGGTTTGGTTTTTAACCGAAAAACCAGCGGTCGATTCGGTTCGGTTTTCGGTTCATCACATTAAATAGATAATCTTCTCAATAAATTTTGAACTTTTAACCAAAACAAAAAATTTGATATTTTTTTCGAACAAAAAAAATTTGATTTTTTATCACCTTATTTAATCTTCTCAATAAATTCAAAACTCTCCTAAAAAAATAATCTCGGACCCGTACCGTAACTTAAACTATAACGAAGTCAATATTGAGTACAAATTAATGCGTAAGCCATTTTAGGGTTTATTGAAAGTTGAAAATCAACAATCATTGAAGCAATTTTTTACTTTTTTAACTTATATGTACAAGTACAAAACATGTATATATATGTGTATAAATCGGTTTTCAGTTCGGTTCGTTAACCGATCACAGATAACCAAACTGAACCGAAAACCAAAATTTTAAGAAAATGTAAACCGCAAACCGAACTGAAAATTCGGTTTCGATTTCGATCCAAACCGAATTTTCGGTTTCGATCGGTTCGACTCGTTTAACCGAACTTTGTGCACCTCTAAGTCTACCGACTTTGGATTGCTTGTAATCCCAATCTAGGATAATCCAATATGCAATTGATATGCATGCTCAATTAACCATTATGCTACATCACTATATTTGTGCCGCTTACGTTCTTCTATCACTTCAAGATGTTTATCGGACTTTCCCCTTGGTTTTCAAAACATCATTTGCTGACCAGCCTATAAATGAGGTTGCTGAAATTATATTGGTGAAGTGCTTCTTTTCAACGTAAAATGCACTTGATGTTATGCTATTTATACAATAGTGTACAATTTATTTTTTTAATTTAAAATCAAATAAATTTGTCTTAAATTTAATAATAACAATAAAAAAAATAAAAAAAATTAGAGACTAAATTGAGCCCACCTGTGGAGCATTTCTAGAATTCATACAGAATAAATGGATTAAAAACTCCAATAGTTGTTGAAATTAAAATATCATTGTGGCATTTAGCAATACAAATGGACATGAACACCAAATTATTCATTGAGGGTAAAAATGTACCTCCACCCCTTGGATGTACACCAAGGTGTAAGGGGGGAGGTACATGTATCATTGTCTTTTTTTTTTTTTGGTACAGGGACCTTCCGGTTTCCAGATCCACATGAGAACCGACTAATCCTGAATCGAGCCGGGTAGGACCACAAGGGCGGCAAAGCTCTCCCTCAAACACTGCTGCATTCCCAGGGCTCGAACACGAGACCACTGGTTAAGCTGGAAGAGACCCAAGCCATCTCATCCAAGCGCTCTTGGGTTATCATTGTCCTTTTTTAAATTATTTAAGATTTGTTCTTTTTCCATAATATATAGATGTCATGTATGAAAAAATAGAAACATGCTACACATAGTATATGATACTACATGTTAACATTTATATTCATACAACATACTCATCTTACTGCCAGACTGCCAGACTAGTAATGAGATGGAAAATTTGAAAGAAACTATAGAAGACCTCATCCATTTAGCTCTACGTATCAGAATTTCGACAAACCGATTACGAATGGTAACCTCTGGAAACCGAACCCACAGTTATCACATCGCCTTGATGAGACACATTAACTTCCCATTTTATTTTAACTGTGAAGCCTTAAATCTTTAGAAATTAAAACAAAATAAAATAAAATCATAATACTAATCTTTGGAACAACTTAAATTTTCCTTTATATAAAGAGCTTTAGAGATAACTCCAAATTTCTCATTGTGCTATTGGAGCAAGATTTATGAATAAATAAGAATTCTAGCTACTTATCACCAAATGCTCTTGTAAATGTTTCAAATCTATAGCTTCTATTCACAAATCACAATGCACTCTAGCTACTCATCACCAGATACTCTTATAAATGATTCTGTGTACAACTTCTAGTTGCAAAGAATACAATCTTGTGATTCATATCTACTTTTAGTGTACATAAATTACTTCATCAGCTAAAAATGCTTTAGCAATCACTCGCTAAAAATGAATGTAAGTAGTTTCAACGTAATAGAATGCTAAGATACGAGTTCATCAAGGTATTAAAGTTTATATTTGTTTCAAACTTACGGTTGCTGGCACCCTATTAAGGCAACTGAAAGTAAGATTTATACCTTTGGGCAAGTCCAAATATCCCTAGTGTCCCTCCAGTGTGGATCATCACCACTTTGGCTTCTTCTTCATTTTGGCTGAGCCGAGTTGTGAGATCCCAGGCGGCTAACGTGTATATGGGGTCCACAAGAATTCCAGTTTGTAGAGCTATCTTGTGGCATTCTTCAACTTCTCCTTTCAATACATTGCCAAACCTATAACAATGCAAATTTGTCTATGCAAGAGGTTTGGGATGGTTGTACAATGAAAACAATGACACATATGAATACAATGAATTATAAACTCATCCACTACTTCATCCCGTAAAGTTTAAAAAGCAATGTAGAGTTTTTCAAACATAAGTGCCATTATTTAGCACTTGTGTTGTATTGGTACTAAAAGATAACAAAAGAGAAATAATAATAATAAAAAAAAAAAAACACTTACTTTCTAGGTGAGTTGTGTTGTACCCATTGCACAAGTCCAGTATTTACTCCACTTAGGGTTGAGGTTGAGTTGAAAGAGGAAAATGTGGTACTCTCAAGAAATTCTGATATCAAATTTTGTTCTTTTCTTCTGTAGCCGTCGATTTTGTCAACCAGCATCACCGCAGTCACTTTCCATGGAAGCCTGAATTTTCATGAAAAGAAAATTGAAAAAATATATATATTAAGGAAATGAAAGAGACCAAACTAAGATGAGAAATGCAAGATGCCTAAAGAGATACAAATAAAAGTTTAATAAAGAACTAAATAAGTGAGTGTAAGCAACATTGATGAAGATTACTCAACCGCCATAAAATAGATCTCACCCTAAAAGTAAAACCCCAAGAGCCAAACCAACAGCTGTTGTCCCAGTTCCAGCATCGACCACAATGTTTAGGGGCTGCTTTTCACCGAACAGATGACTCCCAGACAAGTACTTGATCAAACGCATAAGACCTGACCAGTGATTCAATGATGTCTCAAAAAAGTATATCCAAATGCGTCATCATATTTTTTTATGGGAATGCATGATTGAATTCTGTTATTTTCTGTTATGTTTCCCACCGGTGCCTTTTCACTTTTCCGGTTTGTATGTTGCAAAAACGCACTTGTGTTGCGTGCGTTTTATTCCTTTTATTACTTAGGCAGCAAGACGTAGTTTTAATAAGTCAATAATATGCCGTTTAGGATCTCTTGCATGAGTACGTGTATATAACTTTACATCTCCAATGACTAACATACATTTTTTTTTTTCAGAAAAAAGGGTCAAGAGCACCAACTGTTGCAGCATATCAAATAATCAGAGTTCACTAATGACAACACAAACAAACTTCAATTAAACATGTTTGAATTTTGATGCGAATGAATAATCCACCACAATAATTGATCCCCTTGACCCAGCTAAATAACTCTAACTGAATCACCAAGCCAGCCTGTACGTAGCCCTACACGCACACACCTACTTACACCAATATACATATGCAGTATGCATACTACACCCCTCTTATTAGTCATAACACGTATCATGTACGAGAATGGTAACCTAGAAATTTGTGTCTGCTTGAAATTCAGGCCTTTTGCATCTAATGGGATGAAACTGTAAAAACTCCTGTGGCCCCACATGAACAGTAAAAAAAAAAGATTAGGATTTGTAAAACGCCCCTGGCGAATAAAATTTGCTGGTGATTAGGTATTTCCAGGTTTCGGCAACAAAAGAGCTGCATTAGTGATTTTAAGGGCACTAGTACTAGGATTTGGACCAATTTTCATATGTTGATTCTACTATAATCAGCTGCCTATCTTGCTTTACCCATTATGACTGAGTTTTGCATTACAAGAATAAGTGGAATTTGAGGAAGAAAATATGTGATGTTATTATAGAAAAAGAATCGGAACCCACTAGATATTCCCAGCACTTAGGTAGGTACAAATTGAGGAAATACAGGATTTTACGAACATAAGCAATTTCCCATGTCTAAACGGATTTGTGGAGAACCTGACTTCAAAACGGATTAGTATTGTCTACATTCTCCTCGTGTAGGCTTCCTCTGAATGTTGGAGCTAGATTAATCCGAATCTAATTCAAATCCCATATAGTGATACACACTTATTGCATATTTACCCTTTCAATCTCTTTCTTTCTCTCTCCTAATTCCAGGTGAAGTACTCTAGATGACCATATCCCTTTGTAACCAGACATAAGTCATAACCATACCTTCTCTGTCTAATGCAAAATAACCACGCGCAAGAACCGTGTAATACATTCATCTAGAAGAAGAGTAATTAAAAAGTACCAAAACACCAATTACTCAATCATCAAAGCAACAGTCCCAATAAATGATAGATTCAAGTGCACCAAATTGTTAAATACCTGATAAGGCTATCACATCTCCAGCACCTTCATTTATGACAACAACCTTCTTTGATTTTTGGGGACACTTAAAACGATCCACATGTGAAGAACTCTCTCCCTCAACTGCATCACTTTTGCACGAATAATTCATGATATCATTGAGCCACAAAACAGATCCATTGCATCCTGCTACTGACTCGGCATGCCTTTCAAGCATTTGTCGCCGTTGGGCATATGCCGATCTTGGGACATATACGACATTTCCATACAACTTAGAAACAAGATTGTAGCCAGTTAGAGTTTCAGGCTCTTCTCCTCGAAGAAGCAAGTGGGACTTTATTCCTCTCTCGGCACAAGACACAGCTGCATTACATGCCACCAAAGATAAAATGAACAAAAGATATGCAATTTACCAGGCTAGAGACCAAGCAACTAGGAAACACATCTTGAAAAAAAACAGGATAACGTCCTATACAAAATAAAGACAATTGTCACTTGACATACCAACAGCCGTAGTGTGTGCACTTTGGCAGCCTCCACAGGTGACCTAGAAAGAAATATTCAAAAAATTGACAACTGCAAATAAGACTGCAAGTCGACAGCCCAAAAATAAACAGAAAAATCCACCAATAAAGACAGCAGTAGTAGGGAGAGCAAGATCTAACCACATCGGTCACAGCATTATCTTCAAGAAGTGGAAGCAGTGCATCTAATTTTCTTGCCTTGTTACCATTTACCAAAGGATGCAGCAAGTCATCCCTCACCACATAGAACGATGGAGACTGGTTCATCTTCGACATACCCTCACCAAGGCAAGGCTGAGTAATATTGTGGAAAGAAACATCCTCATTTACTTGGCCATTCACTCCTTTCGAAATAATTATTTGGTTAATTTTGGCATCTGGGCGGCTTAAAGCCCATCTTTGGCGGCAGAGTATATTTGAGATGATGAGTTTGTTATTCACAAGATTATGGGTTCGAACACCAAGAGACATTGAAAAAAGCATGAATATACGTTAAAATTTACAACGGGGAAAAAAACCCTATCTATGAACGCGACGGCGCCTGGTCGGAGCCCACCGGGCGACCTGAAAAATGACCCCCCGACCGGCGGAGGTCTGAGTTCCCTGTATCTCAACCTGTTGGTTCTCTGTTGCTGGATACTGGTCGGTCTTCGAAGAGGTCACGAGTTCAAGATGTCTTGGGAGGTCATGAGGAGGGGGCTGTTCATGAAGAACCGAAGATGGCAGCGACGCTGGGGGCTCCGAGCTTTGGGGACATAATTAACCCGAATCGGCCTCACGTTGAGATGGTTTCTGATGATGAAAGTGGTGTTGAGACGGATGACGGCGTGGTTGTTGATCGTCAAGGGCCGCTGCCGGATATTCGTCTAAAGGACAGCTTTTATGAGAAGTTGTTGCCGAGGAATGTGGTTGTGGTGAAGGTAATGGGTGCTGTGTTTTTACGTCACCTATTGAAAAGCAAACTGAGTTCATGGTGGCCTTTTATGAGCGAATGCGACATGATCGATTTGGAAAACGGCTATTTCCAAATCCGGTTTAATACACAGGATGATGTTGAGCGTGTGCTTATAGGTGGCCCATGGTGGCCCATGGATTATGCCGAAACAATATCACAAGTACTATCTACATATTCAACCGCGGAGTGAAGAGTTTGATGCGACTTGTAACCAAATCAAGTCTTTGGTGACATGGGTTCATCTACCGGGGATGTCAGTTCATTTGTACCACAAAAAGGTGTTTCGGACAATTGAAGAACTTGTTGATAAAGTGGTGAAGATTGATCATCATATTGCTGCTCCAACAAGGAGGAAGTAAGCCCATCTTGTGGTGATTCTGGATTTTAACCACACCTATGTGTGCTAATTTTACAATTTGGGGCAGGACCCAGTGTGTGGAATATGAATTTCTCCCGAATATTCGTTTCAACTGTGGCATCTATGGTCATACCGCAGTGATTTGTCCAGAGAGATCCAATTCAGCAACGACAAGGAGGCTCCTACAGAAGATGGGGTCAGACGGGAATGTGTCCGGGAAGTGAGTAAAGGAGATAATGGAGAGGTGACTGGTGTGGATAAAGATATAGGAACCAGCTCGGATAGTGCAAATCCTGAGAGAGATGGTAGTGGTTTATATGGACCGTGGTTGGTGGCAAAGACTAGTGGCATGCAGTCTACTTGGCAGAAGAAAAGGGACTCACATTTTAATAAGGCAGGGAATGCCACTGCCGCAGGCAAAGGATTGAGGTTTAGCGTGCCTCGGGAGGAGAACGACGAGACTCACAATATTTCAACTCCTAGTGTTCCGTTTGGGACTATTACAATTAATACGGGGTTCTCGAAGGGGAGTTTTGAGAAGAACAACAAAGGAAAAACGACTGAGGGGGCGAGCTTCTATGGGGAAGACGAAGCTTAGTGCGGGGAATGTCAGCAAACGATCCATTCGGGTAGGTCAGGGAGAACCGTCTGGGAAACGGTCTGAGTCTCGTGACAATGATATACAGGGTTTCAAGGCTGCAAGCAAGTGGGTAGACGCATCGGGTGCTTTTGCTTCTTTTCTGAAAGGTGGATGTCGCGAAGGTACCCCAACAGTTATTTATCTCTAAAGTGGTTCATGTGGCCTCTACTTTGGATTCGTCCAAACACCAGGTGGTCCAAGTGGTGGATCAACCGTCGCAGCTTCGACCTAGTAACGAGGCGGAGCTTTTGGACCCTGAGAACTCGAGTATGTTGGTTGACAAACTTGACCCTAACCGACAATTGTTAGAAGATGGAGAAGGACCAGACGGTTGTTTGTCTACTTGGTAACCAAACATTGGATGCTAATTCTACGGAAATGGAGGAGGAAAAAGGGACACAAGTCCCTAGCTTTCTCTGAATGGTGTGGATATTCGCGTGTATGTCTCCAATTGTTTCGTTATGAAGACAGCTTCTTGGAATGTACTAGGGGTTGCGTACGATGCATTCAGGCGAAGCTTTTTGTCCTTAAAGGCCCAGTATAATCCATATATCTTCGCATTGTTCGAACCTCGGATTAGTGGTAGGGGGCGGACTTGTTTATCCGTAGAAGTGGTTTTCCTCGGTCTTTCAGAGTTGAGGCCTACGGGTTTTCCGAGGGAATCTGGGTTTATGGAAGGAGGGGGTGGACCTTCATATGATGGAATGTAGCCGCCGTCCATGCTCAGATTAGAGTGGGGACTGCTTTTCTTATGGTGTCCTTTGTTTATGCTAGCACGAATCCTCGTATACACCGCTCTCTGTGGGATCGATTGAACGAGCTGGCGCAGCGTATCTCCAGACCCTGACTTGTAGAAGGGGTTTTTAATTATCTTCTCCGAGTTTCTAAGTAGCATGGGGGCTCGGTCCGAAGTTGTAATATTAGCTCGTCCTTCGCCGATTGGATTTTTGACAACAACCTTCATGAGATGAGTGCAGATGGGGACTACGCGGCTTGGTTTCAAAACGACTTAGTGGAAAAATTGGATCGTTGGGTTGGTAATGAGGCCTGGTTGGATATGTTCCCGGATAGCATGGTGTCTCATCTACCCCGGGTGGATTCGGACCATACTCCTCTTTCAGTTCGAGCCACTAAAGCGGTACGATTTCCAGGGCTAAAACCTTTCTGGTTCTTTACTGCATAGCTTCTTCACGAGAGCTTTTATGTTCCGAAACTTAAACTCTCATTTGAGCAAGTGATTCGGGAAGTGATTGTGATAGAAGAAATCAAAACTTCTTCTATCTAAAGAACGAAGTGATTGTGATAGAAGAAATCAAAACTTCTTCTATCTAAAGAACGAAAAAGAAGAGAAAGACCCCAAAGTAAATAAAAGAGTCCAAAGAGGGGAGCAGTGACTCTGCTCACAGCTTTCTGCGTGAGATAAGATCTGGATGACAGACATTCAACGTTATATCCGGGAAAAGGAAAAGTGGAAGTTGAAGAAAAAAGCTTCTCCCTCTCCTTGTAAGTTGAGGGGAGAAAATAAGTCGAGCAGCTTTCGCCCCAACGAACTATGCAAAGTTTCAAATGCAAACTTTTTAAAATTTAAACTAAAAGCTCAACTTACCAAAAAAATAAATAAGTAAATCAAATATATTATATTATTATTATTAATTTACAATTTACAAAATAAATACAAATCCTACATAATAAGTTTAACACTTTAGCGTTTAATATGATAACGATGAAAATATATACAATTATATATTATACATATAAAATTAATGACAATAAATAAATAAAATTATTTTGTATGTAGAAAAATGTCATTATACACTATAAAACTAATGATAAACATATGTAATTATATAATATACATATTAAATAAAATAAATAAATATATATTAATTAAACCGGTTCGACCAATTCGACCACTGATCCGACCAGTTAACTATTGAACCAGTAGTTCATCGATTCAGTGACCGGTTCGATTATCAAAACCATGCAATAATTGTCATTCTTCTAACTTATGCAATTCCTATCAAATGACACTCCTATCTATCAAAGAGATCCAAACCAACCAACAGGGGTTGGCTCACGCGGTAAGCAGCTTGATGTCGTTTAAGCAAGATCTCGGGTTCGAGTCCTTGTGAATACAGAAAATCCTTGTTGGGAGACTCACCCACCACTACCAGGTGTGCGGCTCGAGTCGACCAACGGATTAGTCGGGGCATAGCTCCGGATAATGGCTACCAAAAAAAAAAAGGGATCCAAACCAAACGGGTCCTATGGGTTTGCTGGTAGAACAGAATTGTAGAAACGGCAGCTAAAGTTCACAACAAGAGGGATCATTTATGCAGATGGATCCTGCGATCTCAAGTGACCGGAATCCTTCAGATTCTTTACAAACTGATTCAAATGACCCAAGGTCAACGGAGGATACGTTTGTTGATTGTCCAGATGAGATAGAGAACTCTGAATCCAATCAGACCTCCGAAGAGAAGAATGGGGATGATGTGCAGAATGACCAATACGTTGTTGTTGATGATGGTGATGATGAAGCTGACAGTGGGATCAAACTCCCAGAATCGATTGCTGAGAATGAAGTGTTGCTAAACAAGCTTCACAGAAGTGCTTTTGAGAATGAAAGATTGGCCCGCGAAAATGAGGTCTTTTTCTATTCTCCCTCTTACTTTTTATCTTTGATTATCTGTTCAAACAAGTATATGCACGAGTATCTTGATCTGAATTAGTCTCTGCTTCTGCTCCAGGAGGAAGAAAAAGTTAGAGAACTCCAATCGATTTTATATACGAAAGATGAGGAAATTGATTTTCTTAATGCAAAGATTGATGAGTTAACCAACTCAACCAATTGTGGTCAGCCCGATTCTCGGTTATATGAACTTCAGCTTGAGAAGGATCAGCAAATTGAAGAAATCACAAATAGAATGTTGTCTTTGCTTACCACCATGGGATGCTATCGAGAGGAGCTGTTGGATGGATCACTTGCCGAAAAGATTTGTAGGGTTGAAATGGCTCTCGAATCTTTAGTTGAAAAGCATAATCGTTTTGTTTCTGAAAGTGATCAACTGAAGGGTTGTCTGAATGAGATTGGGGTAGATTTTGGTACGATTGATGAAATTGGAGCTCTCATTATGGCACGCGATAAAATTTTTGAGCTGCGAAGAAATGAAGAGGAACTAAACCAACGTCTACGAAATTTAGGGGATGAAAATGGTAATGTGGTTGAACAGCTTGAGAAAGAGAGATCGACCCTTGAAAATCTAAATGCGGAAATTGGAAGGCTTAGCTCAGAAGTTGAACAAGAGAGGAGCAGACATGCTAACACAAAAGAGAAGCTTAGCCTTGCTGTGACAAAAGGAAAGGCATTGGTACAGAAAAGAGATTCAATGAAGCAACTGTTGGCAGAAAAAACGAGCCAAATAGAAAAAATTTCACTTGAATTACAAGAGAAGTCAATTGCTCTTGAGGCTGCAGAGAAGACTAAGGAGTTGGTTGTGGCAGGTGAAATACTTGCTGCATCCTTACGGGAATCTCTAGTGGAAAAGGACATCGTACTTGAAAAATGCCGAGAAATATTATCTGAGAGTGTGCCAGAAAAGGAATCCCAGCCTACCGATATTACCGACAAACTCAGATGGCTCACGGACGAGAACAAATCTCTAAGGGCTATATCTTTGCAATGCGATGAATTAACTGATGCATTGATGTCATGTGACTTCCCAGAAACAGTAGCATCAAGTGGGTTAGATGTGCGTGTTCGTTGGCTTGCAGAATCTTTTTCTCTATTGAAGGAAGAAACAGTGAAGTTACGATCTGAGGAAGATAAAACGAAAGAAGCTGCATATCGAGAGATTGATCGCCTCACTACTTCACTTTCAGCTGAAGGGCTGGAGAGAGGTTATCTTGAAGCTGAATTAATTGACTTGAGAAAAAAGATTGAAGCACATGAAATGTTTCAACTTGAGTTGGCTGAAGAGAGGGAAGCTGTAAATAAAGAGATTGAACGCCTGCGGATGGCACTCTTGGCAGAATCACAAGAAAAGAGCAATCTTCAAGCGGATTTGGAGTACTTGAGACACAAACATGAAGAAGTTGTTCGAAAGGAATATTCTGTTTCATTGGAGAAAGATAAAATAGTCAATATGATGATTGAAGCATCTGGACTTGCATATGGTGGTGGTGTGAGGGTTCATGGGGAGGAATCAGAATCAGACCTGGCCACCATTATCGATAATTGCCTTTCAAAGATTAAAGAAAATAGCTGTCGCATTGAACAGGCTCCAGTTGATTGGGAAAAGTTTGAAAGCTTCAAGAGCCTTCTGTACATCAGAGAACAGGAAATGAGTCTATATAAGCTAATTATTGAGGAAGATGTTATAGTGGACAGACAGCAGGTGAGTCGTTTGTCGGATGAGCTTGAAATGAAGGTTCAAGAACTTAATGCCCTAAAGGATGAAAATGCTTTTTCACAAAGAAGTAGAGAACAGTTAGAGGATAGATGTGCTTTACTCAAGGAGAAATTGTCTATGGCAGTTAAAAAGGGCAAGGGTCTTGTCCAAGAGAGGGAAAACTTGAAAAGTTCTCTAGATGAAAAGAAAACTGAAATTGATAGGTTGATGTCTGAACAGCAAGAAATCTTATCCAGATATAGTGAATGCCAGGATCAAATCACTAAATTGTCACTGGGCGTTGAGCGAATTTCTGTACTGGAGGCAGACCTTTTTAGTGAAAAGGAACGTGGGGACCAACTCGAGCAATTTTTGGCAGAGAGAAATCGTGTGATACAGAGAGTCATGGAGTCAATCGACGGCATTCCTACTCCAACTGACGTCGCTTTTCAAGATCCTGTAGAGAAGGTAAAATGGGTTTGTGGACATCTTAGTCAAGTCAAATATCTACAAATGGAGGCAGAAAAAGAACTGCAAAATGTAAGAGATGAAGCTAGTTCTTTGGCCTGCAAGTTGTCTGAGGTTGGAAAGAGCATGCAGTCAACTGAAGATGCATTGTCAGCTGCGGAAAGTAGCAGATCTCAAATCTTGGATGAGAAGAAGGAACTTGAAGCTCATATAACATTTCTGGAGGAGGAACTTCAGAGGGAAAAAGAGAGATCCTCTTTCCAGGAAAACAAGTTTGAAGAGTTTTCTGCAGATAAAGGAGCACTTGAAAAAGCTCTATCACTGGCTGAGGACAATATTTCAAGGTTAATAGATGAGAGAAACATTGCTGTAGAAAGCAGAACTCTTGCTGAAGAGCACCTACAGAAAATGAAAGAGGAGTTTGCTAACCAAGTCACTAAGCTTGCAGATGCCGAAAAAACTATTCAATCCCTTGAAGATGCATTGTTTGGGGCACAGAAGAGTATGACACTGCTTTCTGTAGAAAACAGTCAGAGAGATATTTTCAGGGCTGATTTCGACAATGAGATAAAGAATCTGAGAGAAGAGGCTGATCAACAGGCTAGAAAGCTTTCTGAAGCCTCAATTACAATCAAATCTCTTGAGGATGCACTATCAAATGCACAAAATAACATTGAAGATCTCGCTCGGGAGAAAACAATCGCCAAGGAGGAGATTATGGAACTTAAGGGTAAGTTAGAATCCCGCACTGAAGAGTTAGCGGAAATCCGTGATAGGTTGGAGAATGAGCTCTCTGGTCAGCTTAGCCGTCTTCACTTACTTCTTGAAGATGAGACACTTCCATCTTTGCTAGGACAGTGCTTTGAAAGAAAATTTGAGAGCCTAAACAGCATTGGTTTTCTACTTAATGAAATCGGAGACTGTTTCGTTGAAATGGACTACGATGTCCAGCAACAAAGCCTTTTGATGGAGGTATAATTTTTTATTTGATGTGGCTATCATGTTTTTTCTTGCACTGGTTTTCTACTTCACGAAATTGGATACTGATTCGTTTAATTGAAATACGATGTCCAGCAAGAAAGCATTTTCATGGCGGTATAATTTTTATTTGATGTGTCTATCCTATCATGTTGTTCCTTGAGATTTGATTTTCTGTATGTCATTTAGTGCACTTAGTCTGTATTAGCACCTCCCTTCATCACAACTATGCCAAGGGAAATAAAGTAGAAGGAAAAATTGCAAAAAGAAAGTGCTTCAGCTAGTTGCAAGTAGGTTTAAGTTTCAGAAAAAGCTTCCTATAATTGTTCATCCAACTTTAGTTGTTAGGGATAGTTTGTTCATGATTTTCTTATTGTTTTTTTCTTTCTGTAACAGTTGTTTATTCGGTGTTTCAAACAACTTTTGCTTTTGTGTTTGAAGAAGCTTTCTCTCTCTGTCTCTCAATGTACTGCAGTTCTGCCTTTTAGCTTTCCTTATTAGGTTGCCTTGTGTCTTTCTTGCACGATGAGGTTCTCAGCACCTCTCCTTCTCTGTTTTGTAGGGTGATTCTCCTCTTTCAGATAATTTACCATCTATTTCTGGTACTACTTTCGACATGGGAATGTTAAATGATACGGTGATGAATGCTGCAGATAATGAGAGCCTAGTGTTTCGGATTGAGAAGATGACTGATAGATTTCAGCTGAAAAGCAAGATAGTGGCTGATAAATTTGATAGCTTATCCACACTCATGGATGGATCAATTGCCGCTATTGTGAGACGGTTTCGCTCAATAAATGACCAAATTATCAGTATAATAAAGCATTCTCAATTTCTCAAACAACAAGTGACGGACATTTCAAAAGAAATGCAGAGGAAGGAGGAGGTCGTTGCTTCACTGCAAATGGAAAATAGAACTTTGTTGTCTGCTTGTAAGGATGCCATTCAGGGATTGGAGTTGAATGCACGCAAAAATTTGGAGGCTTTGATATCTATCCATGATCATGTGAATTTGGATGGCACAATGTCCATGGATTTGGTAGCAGTTGGGGATGATAGAGTCGAAGAACTTGCTAATGACCATATGAAGACGAATGAGAGGCTATTACTTGCGACGAGACAAAATGAAGATCTTAATGAGCTGTTTCAGAAATCAATAAAGAAGTTGATGAGCATAACACAAGATTTGCAGAATGAGAGAAAAGAAATTCAGCTAACTTGTGATGAAGTCTTGGAAAAACGAGTTCGAGACGAAGAGAAAATCGCCAAGATGGAGGCTGATCTGAGAGCACAACATAACATATGTGTTGATTTGACTTGTAAACTAGATGAGTATGAAGCAAAAGAGGATGGATGGAGGAAAAAAGAGATGGAACTATCCTCTTCATTAACCAAATTCCATGGTATTTTATCCCTGAGTAGAAAAAATTTTAAACTTTTTTCATTTATCATGTAAATGCTTCTTTTAGCTTGGTGATTCTTTTTTTGTCCTCTTCATTTTTCTTTTTTCCTTTTTTTTTTTTTTTT